CGGGATTGATCAACGGCAAATGCTTTATCCTTATCCTTTATTTTTGGCCAGGGATTTACCCTTCCTTCTTCGGGCAAAGGGGCGGCGTCTGTGATGTGGGCGTGGTTTGTGAAGTATGGCTGAGCTTTTGTGCTTTTGCATCTCATTTGGGTGAAGATTTGAAGTGAAAAATATGTAGCATTTTTTAAAATATTTGTGAATCTGTTTCGATCCTTAAAAATAAAGAACAATCAGGAATGCTAGGAACGCATTTACTGTTTACTTTGGTAGGGATGTTCTTGAAAATGATGTCAAGGCCAACGCTTTTTTCGCCTGTTCGCCAAGTCGACATAAACTGTAACTCTATATAGCTCCTGGCTGTGGAAACAAATCGCTTTTTGATTTTTTGCTCAAAAAAGACGTGCAGGTTCTAACAGTGGACGGTGGAGATCCTTCATAATAATAGTTCCCACAATAACAAGTTTATTTGCTTTGCCATGTTCATCCATCAAAGTTAACCGTATCAAATACGATTCAGAATACCGTATACATATGTACAAAACTAACACATAACAATCATAGGAATCATCGCGGAAAAGTGTTTTTATAGATTTCGAACAACTGTTTAATGACATCTGGAGGTAATTGTCTGATGATTCGTCGCATACGCATCTCAACCTGCTTTTCATCAGCTATCTGCTTCGCTTCTAGAAGTTCGATCACCTGAAAGTCGTCGTACTCCAACAATTGCTTTGTCAGGCCAGTGGCAGACTTTGCGAATCCAACGATTCGCTAGCGATTGCGGGGTACGAGCGATGCGTTAGCGGATCGAACTATGCACAGCGGTTTGAATATTGTACCAGCTCTCTGAAAAATGTACCAGCGACTAAGAAGTGTTTGGAAGTGGCGGGACTCCCTGTCGTTCGCACGTTGACTCTCGTCGCTTTCCAAGGCTCACGTGTGCGTGAGAGAGAGTGAGAGGGCGTAACAGCTCGGGAGCAGGGTCAACCCTATCGTTGTTACTTTTTGAAAATTGCCCGTTGTTACCAGTAACAACGTAAGGTTGACCCTGCCCGGGAGACTGGTGGGAGTCAACGTTTGAACGAGGGGGTCTCCGTCACTTTCAAACACTGCCGAATCGCTGGTGCATAGTTCAAATAGCTGGCACATCGTTCAAACCGCTAGCGTATCGCTCGTATCCCGCGATTCGCTAGCGAAACGCTAGATTCGCAAAGGTCTGACACCGGCCTCATGCGTGAAGCACTACCGCGATAGCAAGAGCAGTCGCTCTTACGTGTGTCGACCATGGATCATATATTACCCAGGCCAACAAGGCCATTCGTGTTCTCTCGCCGGGTTCCTGCTTACAGCTCTGTTCTGTGGAATTAAACTTGCGACTTATGGTGATACTTTGGTTGTCTTCACAAATTGGAAGAAGTATAGAAATGCGTCGCGATTTTATTACCATTTTTCAACATATTTTTATTAGACTTATCCTTTCGAATAGATTTCTGGCAGTTTGCCATGGTCATCCTCTTTGTTATGATATT